TTCTCGCATGGAAGAACCTAGCTGAATTGGATCAAGGGTCCCAACCGAGTCCGATTGACCTTCTTTGGCTGGCCCCCGCCCCTTGTAACGAGGTCAACCCATACGTGCTCCTTTCGTTTAGCGAAATAGCTTACCAGCTCTTTCGGCTCCAGCAGTATGAAAAACGGGATCCTCATCCTGAGTCGAGTCCGTATTGCCATACGAATCGACATCGGACAAACCAAGAACTCCTATTTTTGTTTTAACGAAAGCAGATATAACAGTTTCGAGAAAACAAACCAACCTCTTTTAAAGAAGAAGTCGCTCCGCCTTGATTAGCGTGGACATATGCAGCTCCCGCTTTACCTTCGCCTACCGGGAAAAGGAAAGTTCCCTCACGATAGGCCCTCTCAGCTCCCGAACGTCTTTCTATCAATCGAGAGAGGTACAGAATAGTACAACAAACCAATAAGACAAGAATGGACTCATAAGATGGGCGGGAAGCTATTTCATTTTGTTATCCGCCAAGGAAATGAGAAAGGAATTCTCTATACACGGCTGAGACCGTATTGTTGCACATCCTGAATAAAGTACCGTAGGCAAGCGAAGTGAAAATCAAAGCGTGTAGAACTCAGCTTTCTCTTCGATTCGTAAACTTCTGATCTGATCTGCCTTTCGTCTCCGGGTGACTGAGAGAGAATTTGGGCCTGGCGTGCATCCGGTTCGGTCAACAATAAGGTACAAAGCAGATTGATTAAATGGGCTTGAAGTTCCCGCGTTAGGTCGAAGATCTCTACTAGTCTTTTCATACTATCCTTTTCTTTAACCCTGCTATCAACCTAGCCATTCTCGCTTGTTGCTTTAAGGGGTCTCCCCACTTTATGTGGGTATATATAGGCTTCGTCGAGAATACCAAGTAGATCAGCAACTACAGGTTTCCCTCGTCCTGTGAGGTAGGAAGGGTTACGGGATACCTCGAGGCCCTTTTTCGTATATTTCATCATTAGCAACCTCCTCTTTCTCGATTGTCAAAAACATATGCTTGATCTCCCTAGTGGTATTGCCTTGTAAGTGACCAGCATATACCTTTACTAACTCCACTGCTGCTCCCTCAATGCTATGCTGAGCGGAGGAAGATACTAAGGGCAGAGATTTGAGCTAACAATCAATGGCTTGACTCCTTACCTTGCTCAATGCTTCTCCATCAACTGCAGCAGGAAGGACAGGAATAGGAGAAGGAAGAAAGAGACCTTAATAGTTGGCCCTAGGAAAGGAAAGCTCTTCACTACCATTGCTATCCATCTGTCTACAGTTATCAATGTATCTGGTATAAAGAAATCTTCATTACATTATAGAAAGAGGTGAAAAGCAATCAAAGCAGTATCCAAAACCCACCACCCAACACCTTACGCGCCCAACTCAATGCTTCCTTGCTCACAACCAATCCCTCAAAGCAATGAATGCGGCATCAAAAAAAGCACGCCATAGAACAAGAAAAAGTTTCTGCGCGGCGTAATATGGTATTGAAAGGTGGTACGTACGGCTTAGAGCCAAGGCATTCATAGGTCTCCTGTCGGACGGAAGTGATAGCGGAAAAGGCAAGTCTTCCTTCCTGGGTCTAGAACAGAAAATGGGAAGGCTCTTTCTCCTCGCACTAATATGTATGTATATCCTTCCCAAATCCTAGTGTTGGCTACCATCTTCAAAGCTATTGCTGCTACACTCTAATTATAATTCATTTGATTTTCTACAACCCTAGGTGACGCAACTTTTCAATGTTAACCTGCTTTGCTTCAGGGAAGAGTGGATGATCCGCCAGCTCTTGCAGAAATTTGTCAAAGTTGTTTCGAACCCCCAATTCTGTAGTGGCATGAGAGACGCCCTAAGCTCAACCCGGATTTCATCTAAACTCTGTGCACATTAGCTTCATTCATTCCACTTCAAAAGAGCCTTAGACAGAAAAGCAAAACGAGGAAGAGGTTTCCATTCCAGGGTTTGAGTAAAGGATCTCCGGGAACGCCTTCTCATGCCCGTTTGCCAACATCCAGCCCGCCTTCTGCTATCTTCCACTCCGAAGTTTAGGATTGAGTTTCCGATTTGGTTGGTGATTCTGACTTGCCTTATTTGATTTGAATCACTTGGTTGGAAGGGGGCAGGATGCCTTGGAGGCACCATAGATTGCACCCGTCGTTGGCAATGGCGCTTTTGAGTGCGCCTAACCGGGGCCGTAGATCGAGTTCTGGGCTAAGGTTACCGCCAAACCTCCCTTCTGGAAAAGGTGAAGTAGATCGACCAGGTTACCGGAACCAAAGAAGAACAACAAAAGCCAAAAAACAGATAAAGCATCAAATGTTCATCCTTGCCCGACTAAAATAAAGGGTTTGTGCTGCCCGCTCTAAAGGCTTTCCAAGAACTTCCGTGGGTGGGAAAGTCTAGACTAGAGCCGACGACTCGTGAAGAGATAAACCGGCAGAAGCAGGCAAGAAAAAGTCCCTCCCCTTTTTGTTTGCAAGTAGAGCACTAAAAACACCAAAGCTAGCCTATCTAGTAAGCGTGCAAGTGGGTGGAGAGAATTCCATACTTGATAGAAACTATACCACAAAATTGGCAATGAGATTCCTTCTAGGCTGACTTTCGTCTGAGCAACTACTGAACTCAACTGAGCTATAAGTTGGAGATCAGATATGGGTATAGCACAAGCTGCTATGAGAGGAAATTCAGGCTCACCATCCGTCCGCATAGCGCCCAACCTGGAAGACAAGGAGAGATCCTTAACTCAGTCTCAAACACGTCTGTCCCGTAAAGACATCTACTGTGCTGGCCTTATCTTTTGTCACTAGCTTCCGCCGCATGAATAAAGGAAGATGGTTCCACGGAGCGCAAGGCATCTCTTCCTGCGCTAAGGCATTACATGCCAACGAACTTGGCTGGCACTCTTGTCATGAGCTACTTTGACCTCCTTCAATGAAATAAGGCAAGAAGGGAATACGGGGCGAAATAGCCAAATTAGCTTGAAAAAGGGCTTACCTCGCCCGATACCATACCTTTCTTTTTTTTCACTGTGTGAGAGAGAGTGCTTTCCCCTTTTTGATATCCTCTTTATCTGTTTTTATGGTCGATCTTTCTTGTCCCAACCATTCTTCTTAGTCTGAGTTCCGATCACAATAAGAAAGGAGAGAATATTGATAACAATGTTTGAATCTTGTTGATTCCTAGGCCTCGAGGACCGAAGCTATGAGACCGATAGGTGAAGGAGAATGAGTCTTGCTTTCTAGCTTTCTTCTTGAACTCCCAAGTCTGACTTTGCCCTCATACCGAAAAAGAAACCAACTCGATAAACCAAAACATATCCGACGCCTGCTTCGCTTAACGCTCTCTTGCATGGCTCATTTCCCGTGCTTAGACCCACCCAAGTTTAGCAGCCCGAAAATAGGGGAGAACCAATCCACCGCGCCTACTGGTGCTCTCGAGAAAGCCTAAGCCGGTAATTGGCTAAGATCCGTTCCTGCGCGTGAAGTGCAGCAAGCAATTAGGCCTTGCTTTCCTTTGGTTGCTTCAGTGAGATCGTATTCTTCCTCAAGCTTGGAGTTGCTCTTAGCTAGTCGGGTTGCCGACCCGCGGACCCATTTCGTTGCCATAGTTCCGGGCGCATTAGGCCCTCTTTTTGATCCCAATACTCTGGGAATGGAAACAAGACCACTAGAAATAGTTAAGGAATTGATCAAAGTATATATAACCTTTTTTGTGGAGTCTATTCTTTCTTTATGCACGGTGCGGTATAGTATAAGGGTGGTGGGTTTTAGTGGGCATAGGTTGTAGTTCCTTTTCCAGAAGAGAATGAATCATCTGATGAAAGATCCAGACCTGTGCGCTTGAGCAGCACTCCCAGTGTAAGGGGATAACTCGAACTACACAATTCAGGTGGCATAGCAAAAGCCTCATCTTATTTTCTTTGAATTCAGGGGAGGGGCGAAGAAGCGAGACAAAGGAGAGGGGCGAATGAATCATTTTTTCACTTCTGATATGGATGTGGAATCCTATGCGCTATGCTTGCTTCTAGTTGGTAAGAATCAGTCCCCTTTCTTTTTGCTTTTCCAAGGAAGAAATTAGCCTATGGTTGATTTTCTATCAGAGAGAAAGCCAGCATTAATACCATACCTTCCTTCATTCATAGGTAGGGGATCTGAATAGGCCCTAAGTTGCCCGAAGCAAGGATCTGCTTACCAATAAAAGAATAATGTCTTTTAGGGTGGGTCTTTATACCTTCGGATCTTTTTGAGTTCATCCAAATTTCACTTATACAGAGATAGCATAACATAGATTGACAACCAATCCCCACAACATATGAGAAGTTAGGATAGGACGAGTGAGAGTAATCCCGATTCAACTCCCAACTCATCTTCTGCCCCTCTGTGATGAAAGGAGGATCATCAAGGAGATCCCAACTAAAGAGAACTTGTGATTTTCCCCCCTTTTTCTAGTTGTAAGGTCTTGTCTTAGCGTTACAATGCAAAAAGAACTTGATCATCATTACATCCTTTTTCTATAGGCTATCTTTCTTCAAGTGAGAGATCGGATCGTGAAACCTTCTTATCCTAAGGGCTATAGAACTCCCTCTGGCAAGCATTAAGCTAACTGCCGCCTCTAGTTGCTTCTACGTGCTATATTCTCTTCACCTAACACATTCAACTACCTTTTCTTGCAAGGAGTGAGACTGCAGCTCACATTTAGTTTCTAATCTCTTTTGATGTGGCTCCCCCTCAGGTTGGTTCTTCTTAGTTGTAACCTCTTTTTCTTTAGAGCCCGAGCTAGATGACAAAGCTGAGCTCGAAGGTCCCTTTTTGATGCGGTAGAAGTACCTAGCAATCTTTTCTTCTGTTGCTGGGAAAGTCTTCCTCGGAATGTCAGTCAAAGCCTTGAAGGAGTTGTCTACCCAATCTGACCCCTGGAATCAAAACCCTTGATTATTCCATGCATCTCGATATTTGATGAAGAGTGAGTGCTGGCCTTTTCATATTGAATCACAGCCATTTTCCTCTTTCTTGGGGATCAAACTCCAGAGAACAAGCTTCAATTCCAGGGACATCATAAAGAGTACCTGCTACTCCTACTTTTTCGACTTCGCATATGGGCTTTATATTGTCTACGACGTCAACCATCAGTTTGATTACATCGTGTTCAGTTTGAGCTGGGCGATGAAAAGTTTGATAAACAATAGCACGAACTTTCGTTCTTTTACCTTCTTTCATGCGAAAGTTGACCAACTTCTTGATCAATTGTTTTTGCTCACCATCCAAGCCGCCCATATAGTTGAGAATTTCCGAGCAATTGGAAGCCGCTTTCGATGACGAGGCCGAGAAATTGATATTACGCAATCGTAACTGTCCATCTTTATCAGCCATCTCCCCTCTTTCCATCTTTCTTTTCAGAGTTGACCACTCATAATATCTTCTTTCACTTTAGGGTCTCGCTCCCGGAGTTAAGTTCTAGAGTATACACTCTCCTGTCATACAGCTCCGTCCTGGCATCAGGACCTACCCTTTGACCAACGGGTCCTCGAACCGAACCAAGCGGTCTGGCCTACACCTACATTCACCCTCTATCGGGTGGAAATAGTTGTTGGAACTCGGTTTCCAATTCCATCCAGAACCGAGAGTTCTCATTTCAATGGAGGCTTGTTTACGAGCGAGGAATTTCAGATCCCTACTCGTTCCACCAAAACAAAGTATATCTATTGCGCGGCTCACATCCTCTGGCTCGTGCACCGGAATCCTTCTAGTCCTCACGAGTTGGTCTCTCTTTTCTCATTTTGACCTCGTGGTTGAACTCCCACTCTGTGGTGCGAAACTGTCTCGAGTCATGTTCTCTCGCTCCTCTCCCTCTCGGTTGAGCTCATTGCTTCGCTCATTCATCTGTTTCACAATTCCATTTCATTCACCTGTCGGTTTCACAATTCCATTTCCTTCACCTGTCGGTTTCACAATTCCATTTCCTAAACCGGAACTGATATGAATCCAACAACTGATCACGTGCATGTACCCGAAGGACCGATTACAAGAAGCAAGGTTAAGAAGATTCAAGAGGCCTATACATTGCATCTTCAAAAGCTAGCTAGTGTACCGGTTGAAACAAGGACTTTTGTGCCCAAAAATCTTTATAACATTCGCATATCAAATCAAGAAGATAATGGAGTGGCTGATATTGGAAAATAATTAGAAGACTTGCCTTTGGTAGTTGAATTACCAATTAAGGAAATTATTAATGCTTTATTTGCTTCCTTTTATATTTAATAGCATTTATTAATAGTTTGTATGAATTGCCTTATATTCTTCAATTTGTATTTAATAGCATTTATTAGTGATTGGTGGCTGAACCATATTATGTTAGGGTTACCTTTTAGACCTATTTAAAGGCATGTAATACTCATGTTTGAGAGATTTTTGGTTGAATACAGAAAAAACCTTTGTGTTTTCTTGATACCCTTTTGGTGTTATTCTTTTTCAAATCTTGCTTTAGGTTTGATGTTTAAACCGATTCATTGAATTAGTTTTGATCAAGCTAATTCTGGAGTGAATTGTCTTGGTATCTAAGAGTGACCATCATAGATTCCAAGTTCGATCTAAGAGTCATTCATCTTCTAACCAGCTCTTGGTTGGAATCAATCCGTTAAGTTAGCTTTCTCTGTGAGCGTTTTGCAAGGATTCTAGAAGGACCTCTAGCTTTGCAAATTCCAGCATTGTAGGCGCTTATCAGGAACACCTTTATGACCTCTCTCTATTTACCTTATTCATTCAATGAAGAAGAAGAAGAAGATATTCCCTTCACTTTCCCTTCGAGTAAAGAAAAGGAGAAAGGAAAGATTGAGTAAGACGCACAGAAGAAGATATTATATTCCTTCGGAACCTTCTTTCACTCCTCTCCCTATTCTTTATGGTTTTGTAGCTTCGCTTATTCGCCTATTTATTCAAAGACTGTAAAGGGGGTCAAGCTATTTTACGGTCTCGAATCTGTTCTTTCCTAAACTACTGAACCTGATTAAACAGTAAACTCGGTGAAGAATCTTTGCTTTTCTTTCTCGAACAGTAAACAAGGGTTGAACTACTCGAGAGTTAACTGTCAGCAGACTCAACTCCTTTCCTGGGAGAAGAAAATGAAAGATGAATGAGAGTGAACTGTCAGACTCAACCTCAAGCTCCTTCACCTAAACCTGATGGAACTCGGTAAACTCAATCACTACTTTTCCTTCCTATTTCTTCGGGGTAAAAGCCAAAGATCAAGGAAAGCCGAAACAAGAATCAATTCAGGAGTTAGTAGGCATTATTGTGTTTGAAAGCCGAAACTCCTTATGAATGAGAGAGCCGAGCTGGAACAGTCAGTCAAGACTCTCGATGCATTATCCAGAACAGTTAGGAAAGACTAAAGCAAGAAAGATGAATTCGTCGAGTTTACAGTCTTTGAAAGAAAAGAGCTACTGTGCCAGGGGAGGAAAGACTCAATGATAAGATATGGGAATCACTACAAGGGGAGTAAGATTCGGATTACCTTGTAGATCGAATATCTCAAGCCAAGAACACTTTGTTTGAGATTCGAATCACTCCAGAAGCAAGATCGATCATGTCTAGCTTCAATGATTCTTGTTGATCAAATATCTCAAGACAAGAACACTTGATTGAGATTCGAATCACTCCACAAGCAAGATTGATCATGTCTAGCTTGAATGATTCTACATGCAACCTAAACTACATAGAATTGCAAATAGCCATTGGCTAAAGAAGAGCACAAATGCTTCTTTTACTATATTTTCCAAGTCTACCTTACAAATACAACATACATGGCTTTATATAGCCTCAAAATGAAACTATTAAAGGCATTTCAAAAGTTGTAACATTCACACTTTATGACCATAATTAGCCATTATGTAAATGTAACCGAAATTAAATAAAAAGTCTTAAAATACAATAATTCTAAATTACTCTAAATTATAACCCACCCAAAATTTATAACCATCAAACTTCATTCCTCTTCAATGTGACATGAATTGCAACCTCTTTTGATAATTTTGACAATATTTTCTTCACATCTTCATTGAAGTATATTGTATGAATCATGTCTCTTGGTTCATATCATTCTCCACTTCTTCAAGAGGATTCGTCCTCGAATCTATTTGTGAAACTTTGCTGCAAAAAATAAGTTATGGAAATACAAAGGACCTCACAACACTCTCTCACTTGTATACACTCAAGGAAATTTTAGGCCACTCTGTTTACACAAATGAAGCTCTCATTCTCACCTCTCAAAATTGTAAATATAGCAAAGATTGAATTTTGAACTTTTGGTCGATTAAAAACTAAAAAGAAAAAAACAAATTGAAAAGAAACGCAAAGGAAACATATATCCGATCTTGAGCCTGAAGCTCTGATACCAAAATGATAAGATATGGGAATCACTACAAGGGGAGTAAGATTCGGATTACCTTGTAGATCGAATATCTCAAGCCAAGAACACTTTGTTTGAGATTCGAATCACTCCAGAAGCAAGATCGATCATGTCTAGCTTCAATGATTCTTGTTGATCAAATATCTCAAGACAAGAACACTTGATTGAGATTCGAATCACTCCACAAGCAAGATTGATCATGTCTAGCTTGAATGATTCTACATGCAACCTAAACTACATAGAATTGCAAATAGCCATTGGCTAAAGAAGAGCACAAATGCTTCTTTTACTATATTTTCCAAGTCTACCTTACAAATACAACATACATGGCTTTATATAGCCTCAAAATGAAACTATTAAAGGCATTTCAAAAGTTGTAACATTCACACTTTATGACCATAATTAGCCATTATGTAAATGTAACCGAAATTAAATAAAAAGTCTTAAAATACAATAACTCTAAATTCCTCTAAATTATAACCCACCCAAAATTTATAACCATCAAACTTCATTCCTCTTCAATGTGACATGAATTGCAACCTCTTTTGATAATTTTGACAATATTTTCTTCACATCTTCATTGAAGTATATTGTATGAATCATGTCTCTTGGTTCATATCATTCTCCACTTCTTCAAGAGGATTCGTCCTCGAATCTATTTGTGAAACTTTGCTGCAAAACATAAGATATGAAAATACAAAGGCCCTCACAACAATCTCTCATGTGTATACAACACTCAAGGATTTTTTTTTTTTTAGGCCACTCTGTTTACACAAATGAAGCTCTCATTCTCACCTCTCAAAATTGTAAATATAGCAAAGATTGAATTTTGAACTTTTGGTCGATTAAAAACTAAAAAGAAAAAAACAAATTGAAAAGAAACGCAAAGGAAACATATATCCGATCTTGAGCCTGAAGCTCTGATACCAAAATGATAAGATATGGGAATCACTACAAGGGGAGTAAGATTCGGATTACCTTGTAGATCGAATATCTCAAGCCAAGAACACTTTGTTTGAGATTCGAATCACTCCAGAAGCAAGATCGATCATGTCTAGCTTCAATGATTCTTGTTGATCAAATATCTCAAGACAAGAACACTTGATTGAGATTCGAATCACTCCACAAGCAAGATTGATCATGTCTAGCTTGAATGATTCTACATGCAACCTAAACTACATAGAGTTGCAAAGAAACTTAGCCATTGGCTAAAGAAAAGCACAAATGCTTCTTTTGATATATCTTCTAAGTCTTATTACAAATACAACATAGATGGCTTTATATAGCCTCAAAATGAAACTATTAAAGGCATTCCAAAAGTTGTAACATTCACACTTTATGGCCATAATTAGCCATTATGTAAATGTAACCGAAATTAAATAAAAAGTCTTAAAACACAATAACTCTAAATTATAACCCACCCAAAATTTACAACAATCAAACTTTATTCTTCTTCAATGTAGCATGAATTGAAACATCTTTTGATAATTTTGACAACCTTTTCTTCACATCTTCATTGAAGCATATTGTATGATTGATGTCTCTTGGTTCATATCATTCTCCACTTCTTCAAGAGGATTCGTCCTCGAATCTAATTGTGAAACTTTGCTGCAAAAAATAAGTTATGGAAATACAAAGGACCTCACAACACTCTCTCACGAGTATACACTCAAGGAAATTTTAGGCCACTCTGTTTGCACTCATTTACACAAATGAAGCTCTCATTCTCACCTCTCAAAATTTTAAATAGAGCAAAGATTGAATTTTGAACTTTGGGTCGATTAAAAACTAAAAAGATGAAAATAAATAAAAATCAAATTGAGAAGAAACGCAAAGGAAACATATATCCGATCTTGAGCCTGAAGCTCTGATACCAAATGATACGATAAGGAATCAACTACAAGGGGGTAAGATTCGGATTACCTTGTCGATCGAATATCTCAAGCCAAGAACACTTTGTTTGAGA